ATCCCCATTCCTGTGTATTTAGTGAGTAAATTGTACAACAGAATATATAGCAATCCATATGTTCTAGCCACATTGAACATCATGCCCATCTGACCTGTTATGGGCAAAAACTTGATTGGTAATTTATTTTTACCATCTATCCATGTGACACATCGTCTCATTTTTGCTTTCCTTCTTTCATACTTCCATCCAAGTGAAGAGTATACCCTGCTTAAAAAGGATGCAGTCTCCCATGAGTGTTGCCTCTCTAGTAAGCCTCTGCTATTGAGTGTCTTGCTGCATGGGCTTTCCCCTTCTCATGCCTTCTCTAAAGGGAACTCATGTAGGTTTTCTTGTTTGCACTGGCCTCTTTTCCATGTTAATGTGGGAATCTAGCTACTGTGTGAATAGAAGTTAACATTTTCCTTACCTGAAAATGTATTTGTGATAGATACCTCTTTGCACATCTTCCCAACTTTCCTCCTCACTACCTTTGCACATTACTTTTGCTTGTCTAAGAATGAAGTTAATTTTGATAGCATTTGCTTTTGGAGATCTACTGCACATGGAGGATGTGTTACCCTGCTATTGCTACATGATGATTAGATCATATACACGTCAAAACATGATTTAGGTTGGAGATAATTCAGGACTATAGTGGTGTATGAATATTGCAGTTAAATGGTAGGCACAAGAAATAACTACTATGTGCATAGAGGTAAGTATCTGTCAGAAATACATTTCTAGGTACAGAAAATGTTAACTTTCTTATTTTTAGATTCACATGAAAGGTTTTTCAATAAAAGTCTTTTAGCAGGACTTGACCATATATCTTAAATTGATATTTCTCTCTGAATTAAATAGTGCTGATTTCTACTCTCACTTAAAAGGTTCTTGTAGTGAGATACAAGGGTGGAAATTTCAGACACACCAAATACTTCTAAATTACCTCTTGACCAAATAAATATATCAAAAGCTGTTGTAACTTTTACCAAGTGATTTGTAGCAGAATTCATGATCCTTATCTTCAGTTTTCTAATCCCTGCCTTAAATCTTTGTATTAATCATTGTTCTATTCCTGTCAGCTGTACATTTTTCAACATCCTATTTATTGACATTCCCATCATGCACTTATTCACCATTGCACTTGGGCAGTCCTTTAGCTCTTCAAGTCTATTAAGTGTTGTCTTCACAAAGAAGCATACATGACTCAGAGACAAACTTGTGAACACTGACAAATGACCAAAAAGAAAGTGTAAAACAATAAAATAAACTTTTCAATATCTTTAATACCCCTTTAGTTTTGCTCGGGTCTTCATTTGTGTCATAGGCAATACTTTCCAAGTACTTTAAAAGAGACGTCCAGTTCACTGCCACAGTTCTCATAGTCCCCATTTTGCTCTCCACCCACCTGAACAATTTTAATAATTTCTCACTGAGAGCTCTTGTTGTTTCTGCCAGCTTGTACTGCTTTTTGCTGAAATTATTATGCAATTTTAAAAGTGACATGAGCACACAGTCAAATTCACTAATAAGTGATACTTCTTTAACCCTATCATGATGGGCATCCTTTACTGCATATGTTACAAGGTTTTAGCAACTTACATTCAAAATTTTATTAATCTACTTTTTGTTTGTTATTCCAATTATTATAGCATAAAATCTTAAATAATAATCTGTATTTTAATAGGATATAACTTTTAACTTCTTAATTTTATGCGTCAATATTTAAAAAACTCCTGAATTTCCCCTAGTGTGGCACGTGACACATTTTCTCTATGCATCTTCTCCTCTATCCACCATCCCTCCAATAAGTACAAAATTATAAGTAAATTATTCACTATAAAATCATCATTGCTCATACAAACCATAATTTTTATAGCCTTCAATTTTGTTTCATTGCATAACTATCAAATATAAAATCAGACCCTTTTTGCTACACCCACCTGTCACATCCTCTCTTTCAGGATTTATTAATAGTTTTCTCTTATGTTTAATTCTATATTATCTATAACCAATAGGAAGCGAAGGTTTTCATCTATCAAATGATGTATTGTATAACATTGTTTTCTGAATGGAGGATTGTCAATTTCATTGTTAGTACCTGCT